TCAGTTGCTCTGCGCCCTCGGTAAGAAAGAAAACGTCAAAGGGCCGCGGGGCCCCAGCGCAAAGATCTGTTCAAGCGCCACGCTGCCCGAGTCTCGGGCGGAGACGCCCTTTCGAATGAGAATCCGATGGGTTCGAAATCCAGCCGATGACGCCGTTTGCAAGAAGTCTCGGGCGGAGGCGCCATGTCGAGATCGCGCCCGAAGTTTTCAAAATCGTCGGAATTTGCGCACTTTCGAGACCTCGAACAAGGAGTGCAGGGCCAGACAGCGCGGCCACATCGAAACGACAGCGTCGCCGGAACTTCCTCGACAAAAAAAACCGAATGATTTCGGAACTTTCGGGTTCGATCACGAAGTGACGCTTCCGCCCGAGACTCCCTCCAAAACTCAGATTCAAAACCTGTATGCTTCGATTTCGACATGGCGCGCCCGCCCGGGGCTTTCCCCGAAACGACATTCGGAGTCTTCCAGGTTCGACTTCGAAATGGCGCCAACGCCCGGGGCTTCCTCGAAAATGAAGGTCGGCACTCACTCAATGGGTGGAAGCACGAAGCGGGCCAAAACTCTCGCGGTACCTATGCATGCGCCATTGCGCTGCGCTGGTCGGGTAGGCCGCGCTGCATCGCTGCGAGGTCGCGGCCAGCCGCGCGTTCGACCCATCCGCCTCGCACTGGAGGACGAGCTGAGAGCCCCGCGGCCGATCATGAGTTGACCGGCTTGCCGTTCGAAACATCTGTCGGGGGGAAATCTCAAGCGAAAACCACCCATTCGAAATCCCCTGTGAAATGTTAAACTTTCGAATGCCGAGCGGCGCGGCCACGTCGAAAAGACGGTTTCGCTCGAAACCTCCGCGCAATGACAACTCCGAACGCTTCCGGAACTTTCGGGCTCGATCTCGAAATTGCGATTCCGCCCTAGACTTCCTCCATACTAAAGATTCGAAGCCTTTCTGGCTCGATTTCGAGGTGGCGCCCCCGATCAAGGCTTCCCCTGAAACGATATTCGGAGCCTTCCAGGTTCGATCTGTCGAAATGGCAAACCCGCCCAGAACTTCCCCGAGCATAGATGTCGACACTTCTTAACCTCGAATTCGCAATGGCGCCCCCGCCTGGGACGCGCCTCGGCGGCAGCGCGAAACGGGCCAGAACGCTCGCCGCGCCGGCGTGGCATTTCAAACCGCCCACGGTTGCCGTGCATCTGGTTGGTCTGGAAAGTGGCGCACTCGCTCGCCGACCGCTACACTGCCGTCGGCGTCGCGCACATTGAGGCGCGCCCGAGTCGTTGCATCGCCCGTGCAAATCGATTCGCAGTGCCCGAAGAGTGAGAGGCGGGCGAATCACTGTCGAGTCGACACATCCGCAGCGCAATGCGGAAAGCGGCGCGCTCGCCCACCGACCGAGCTTCGCCGTCGTTGTCGCGCACTTTGAGGCGCCCAGGTCATCGCATCGTTCATGCAGATCGATTCAAAGTACCCGAGGAGTGAGAGGTGGGCGAATCACTTCCGAGCGACACGTGCGCAGCGCAGAGCGCAGAGCAACCGCGGGCGGTTTGAAATACCACTTCACCGCAGTCCGACCAAAACGCAGCGCCCCCCGCTATTCGGCGCCTTCCACGTTCAATTTCGAAATGGCGCCCACGGTCGGGACATCCTCGAAAAATAGAGGTCGGCACTTATTCAGCTCGAATTCGCAGCGGCGCCCCCGCCGCAGACCTGTCTCGGTGGAAGCACGAAGCTGGCCAAAACAGCACCGATGCACGCGCGAGTTGCGCTGCGCTGATCGGGCGGGCCACATTGCAGCACTGCAAGATCGCGGCCGGCCGCGCGCCTGACACCCCCATCGCGCGCATGGGGGGGGGCTGAGACCCTCGTGGCCGATCATGCGTTGACCGGCTTGCTGAGAGCGACTGCGAAAAATGTCGAAACGCGCGAGGTTGTCACTGCGCCCCCGCGGCAGTCGACTGAAGTTCACGCGCGCTGGGACTGCCGGGGCGCGCCCCTCATCGCCCAATTGGCCCCGACGATCGGCCAAACTGTGCATCGGGAAGGTCATCGGTGGCACTGGGTCGCCGTTGACCGCGCCTCCCGCACGGGGATAGCCGGCGACCACTCGCCCAAATGCTTTCTCGGGCCACAGCTGCGAGACGAGACGCCAGCCGCCCGGCGAAACTCGATGAGGCCCGAGCTCGCCACTGACAGAAACATCCCCTCAAGCGGCCAGCGTTGGAAGGAGAGCCGAGATGGCTGCTCGGGCCCCCAGGCGCGGAGCTGTCGCATGCCACCACCGCCACCACCGGCGCCCACGCAGGCGAGGCAGCGGGCCAGCGCAAGCGCGCCCCCTCCGACGGCCCCCCATCCGGAACAGAGGTCACTCCACAATTCAACCGCCGGCGGCGATGCTCTGACAATGAGCCTCGGGGCCGCCGTGGGCCTCTGCCCCGGATTCGCACTTTCGCCAGCGCCCTGGACATTGTCTTCTGTCGCGCCGTTGCGGTTGCCGCCACGCTCGGGGCACCCCGCAACATAGTTGCGAGAATGCCCCTCGCGCGTCGCGTAGTCACTGCGCTGAGTACCGCCAACAGCACAATTGCCCAAAGGAGCGCGACTTGGGATCTCGCCCTGCCAGCCTGAGGGGTGTCGTAGGGCGTGGCGATCTGCCGCATGTCCAGAGAACGTTGACAGGTAGTCCCAGACCTGCTTCACTGCCCCTTGGAAAAAAAGAAGAAGAAGGAACAACAAACAAAAAAACATAGTTGTCCAACACTCCGCAGAATTCCCACTCGCACGCGTGCTCTCATCCGCCTGCGTTTCCCAAGGCCCCCACAAAGCAGTTGCGAGAAGCTCGAAGCCATGGGCTGAAGCTGCTGACGGGAACCATTCCTTACTGTCAACCGTAAACCCGACCTGTGGTACCGAGAGCGACTCCAACACAATTGGAATACGCTCTGGAAGCAAAGCAAGCAGCGGCGGCGGGTGGGCGCCGCGCTCCTTGAAGTTTTCGTAGACTTATTTGTTATGGTAGGTGTCCTCGTTGTCCAACTTCAAGGACACGAAGATTATGAACACGGAAAGCAAGAAGAGCTTGATCATCCTTGCCGAACACAATGGACATGAGGGGGTCGAGGAAGGCAAATAAGGACAGGCGGAGGTGCCGCGTGGGCCATGGCTGCGACAAGGGCAGATCGGAGTTATGTTCCTCTACCAACTATGAAAACGGATTGTGAGGCAATATGGTACTTTTAATTCTCTTGCACAGGGTGTCTAGAGCTCCGACCACTTTATTTCGGCACCGC